TTTCGTATTTCGGATAAAAAAAAACTACCATCAACTCCAATATAAATGTACTTTGCTTTTTAACTTCAATATAACGAATGTTCGTAACGGAATTTCGTATTTCCTGCCTGTGTATTGTAATGCATCAGCAGCAGCGGATCCGTATTTCGGATTAAAAAACAAAATCTTGTCATGTTGTTCAACCTCATTTACAGGGGTAATATTAGTTCCTGTTTCAAAGAAATTCGGATCCGAAATTCGTTAACGGAATTTCGTATTTCGGATATTATTCGGAAACTGCAATTCGGATTTCGGATGCTTCCGAATCTACGAATTTCAGGAAAATCCGTACGAATTCCGATTCATAACGAAACGAATCGCACATGTCTACTAATTAAGGACATTCATTAAGTTCAAAGAGCGTCTGTGCTTAAAAGACTTCCTGAGGACACTGGGATTCAGGTTCCAGCGGAGAGGAAGCTGTTTTCTGATGGAGGTACCCAGTCGGGGTACCAGGCGGTCCGTCACAGTTCTTTTCTACATTTAGCCATGCTTTGGGCAAGCAGGGCTAAATGTAGAGCAGGGAAGCCACTGCCTGCCCGCTTTGTACAAGTGATCTTGGTGATGTCGCCGAGAATTGATCCTAGTAAAAAAGATCCTACTGGTCCTGGAACATCAGCAAGTCCTTCTCTTCTTCCTACTGCTGTGCCTCCAGTGCCCTGTCTAGCAGGCCACAGAGTGTGTGGTCCAGGAAGAACACTAGTTCAGCGGTGGCGAACCTATGGCACGTGTGCCAGAGCTGGCACGCGGGGCCGTTTCTGCTGGCACGCGAGCCCAGGTCCGCCGTTCCGCTTCAAAGTTCACTGACGGGCACGCAGGCGCGGAAGAGAGCTTCGAAGATGCTGTCGTCTGCAGCCACGCAAGCGCAGTGACGAGAGGACGAGACGAGGAGCCGCGCAGGCGCAGTGAGGTGCACTAACAAGGTATGTGAGGTGCACGCGCTCTAGCATTGGCGCCATTACCTCAGACATAGGAGAGCATATTAGATGGCCGCTCGCTGGGGTCCCTCAGGGCCCTAGCCAGCAGCGTGCGGCCGTCTAATTAGAAAGCTGGATCTGCCCTTAGGAGCCACATAGCCCTCCTTAGAGACCACTTAAGGATTTTAGATGACCTGGACGCTGCACAGCCCATCCCCCCTCCAGCCCATACACAACTGCAGGGCCCACCTAAGAGCATTTATGAACCACCTTGAAGCTGCACGGCCCCCAAGATCCCATACAGACAACCGTAGAGCCCACCTAAAAGCACTTATGGACCACCTGTAAGCTGCACAGCCCCCAAGAGCCCATACAGACAAATACAGAGCCCACCTAAGAGCACTTATGGACCACCTGTAAGCTGCACAGCCCCCAAGAGCCCATACAGACAAATACAGAGCCCACCTAAGAGCACTTATGGACCACCTGTAAGCTGCACAGCCCCCAAGAGCCCATACAGACAAATACAGAGCCCACCTAAGAGCACTTATGGACCACCTGTAAGCTGCACAGCCCCCAAGAGCCCATACAGACAAATACAGAGCCCACCTAAGAGCACTTATGGACCACCTGTAAGCTGCACAGCCCCCAAGAGCCCATACAGACAAATACAGAGCCCACCTAAGAGCACTTATGGACCACCTGTAAGCTGCACAGCCCCCAAGAGCCCATAGAGACAACCGCAGAGCCCACCTAGGAGCAAAACAGAATGGCAGCATTTAGCCTGGGACTTTGCATATACTCTGGGCACTTGGGGGAGACTGGTGGATCTAAGGAGTCATTAGGCAATGAGGAGGGTACAGGTGAATATGCTGTCACCAACGTAAAATACGTGGCAGCACCAATAGCTTCAGCATTGTGCCCGGCCCTGCATCATTCCCGGCAGCCAGCAGATTGACCCAGTATGCTGTGAAGATATTGTACCATCCCTACCCCTGGTTCCATGGTCATGTGTACCCTGCCACTGGTGGCGTGGTCCAGCAACACAAACACATTATATTCCACATTCTGGTGGAGGGCGGGAATGGCCTTCGGGGAAAAATAATGGCAGCTGGGTACCAGCCACTGTAGTGTAACACGGGCCATAACCATTCAGAAAGGAGGTGATACCACAAGCTGGAAGGGAAACAGCTACAAAGCCAGCAGTTTTGCCAAGCTGGCATTTGTTCCCTTCACTCCTCTGCATTCTGCTTCTGCCTCTTGACAAATCCTCCCTTGCTGCTGTTCTGCCTCTCCCTCAGGAATTTCCTTCCCCCTAATTGGTGGCACCCACAGATGGTCTGCCACCTTATCATCCCTCCCTCTCCTCATCGCCAGAACCCATTTTACAGTCAGTTCCAACTGTTGGAACATCACTGCCTCTTGCTGCTCCCTGCCTGATGTCTCCTCCCTCCATGGCCCTTATCATTAATATCTGCAAGGAGGGATACTTGCACATGACCGATATCATCCTCCTGCAGCAATACAGTGATCGTGTGATGAAATAATTCCACTGACCCCTCATTGCCAGTTTGTGGGGTTATGGCAGATTTGGAGAAGAGGAGGAGGAAGAAGAGGACGCACTACTTCCTTTGTGTCCTTTGGCTGTATGGTATGGCCACTGCCAGATGTGCCGTGCCTCTAGATGACATGGCCAACCACCATGGCCAACCACCACTTTGTCCTGCAGAATCCCTACTACTTCCACATGCAGAACCTCTGCCTCTACCTTTAGGCCCATCTGACATTTCAATAAAAGTGATTTCCTAAATGTAATGGCAGCTATGGCAATGCACAAAAAGTTAGTCATAAAAGAGACTGCTGGGTATCTGTACTGTGATCACATACAGTCCATATACACAAGAATATGTAGCCACAAAAAAACTGCAATCCACAGCAGTGGCGTCACAAGGGGGGTGCGGCCCGCACCCGGGTGACACCATTGGAGGGGTGACACCAAAATGACTTACAGTAATTTCGGTGTCACCCCCCTCTGAAAAGTCGGGTGCTCGGTCATGGACCGAACGCCCGACAGTATCAGGAGAGAGGAGGGGACCCAGCAGCATACCTCATCCCGCCGGGTGGCTGTCTCCTCCTCTCTCTGCCGGCGTCCATCACCGAGATGGCCGCCGGCAGGTATCGGAATACTGTCGCGCGTGCGCGATGACGTCTCGGGGGTGTGACACTTGGACACCGCTCCGGGTGTCACCCAGCCTCAGGACGCCCCTGATCCACAGTAATATAATAGAATATAGCACAGTGAAGCAACTAACTCTCCCTACACACAGTCAGCTCTCCCTCCATTACTCAAACACACTGATAAATGGCTGCTGGGAACCCATCATCTCATAGTGAGGGGGCTGGCACATAACAAAGCTGGAGATTGACAATGATAAGTCTGATAAAAGGACCCTGTGCAGCCCCGAAACGCTTGTTTTATGACAAGAATCTCCAATAAATGAACCTTTTGTGATCCTGGAAGGATTTTGGTGTGCTGGTGACATCTATATACTGTATGCTTGCTGATACTGGTGGCGCCATCCGCAGTCACTACGGGCACGGGATATTAGGCGAGGAGTGCGACAAGCAAGTTGAATAGTAAAGGCAATAGGAAACACAACACAACTAACTCATAATCAGTTCCCTTTATAACCCAATATAGCTCAGAGGGTAACCAGGGGAAACAAATACATTGACATCTCCGGATTTTACAATGTCATACAGAATTACACGGATATTACACCACAGCTTTGTGCATTTTGTTATACATGGTGTGTGTATCCCTTTAACATCTAGTTACATTTTATGCATTTGCTTTAAATAAGTTGCCCTTCCTGCTTCCCCTATCTCTGTGACCGAGAACTAGGGAGGGTAAAACGCATGAGTAAGGGGCTGTCTGAGACGGGATTGCAGTGTGCAGTGTTTGTAAAGCTGTATGAAAAGACCTGACGCCATAAGTGGGGCTGTCTTCTTTTTCATGTGTAGCGCCCCCCTGACCCCCAGAGGCCTGAGGTGGACCCCCCAAAGGGTAGGGAGGGCTGACCTTCACTCTGAGGGGTGGATCCTTAGCCACCTCAGCCGGGTTAGCCCCCCCATATCAAAATTTTTGAACAAAACATATGCAGTTGGTTAGATCTTTGTTAGATCAGGTTAGATCTCTGTTGTTTGCGTTAGATCTCACACAGAAGGTTTGGTGGATCGTGGAGAGTTGACTGTGGTGGACTAGAAGGAGGACTATGCGGGTGTAGCTTTGATGCAGAGAGGAGAAGAAGGTGTAGTCCCTAGAGGAGGGGTGTTGTACACGCCAAACGTTTATGAGTTGGTGGGAGAAGAGGCACCGCTTTAGGCGCCGTAGAGGGGCAAAGGAGAGATGGGAGGAGGCTCTCGAGGAGTCCATGTCAAGGCCCAGGAGTAGGTTAAAGTCGCCACCCAACACTAACATACCCTCCCGGAACTCCGACAGTCTGGTCAGGACGCACTCTATAAACATCATCACTTGGGACCCAATGGTTCCCTTCAAGAAAAGGACCCTGCCTTCTTCCCCCCCATGTTGCTCTAATAGTGTCCAGGGTACTGAGTGTGCGAGGACGATACTCACTCCCCTGGATCTTTTGTCTGGAGACCCACTATGGTAAGCAATCGGGAATCTTCTATTCTCTATGTGCGGGATACGTTCTATCTGGAAGTGGGTCTCCTGGAGGAATGCAACTTCGGCCCCCTGACAGTGCAGGTCATTAAGGATCATTCTCCTCTTTCCAGGGGTGTTCAACCCCTTGACGTTTAAGGAGAGGACTTTGAGAGTTGCCATGACTGAAATGGGGGGCAAGGGGGGTGGGAGGAAAGGGGGAAGCAGGAGGTGTATGGGAAGATGTAAAGATGGGGTAGGAGAAGCAGTGGGGAGAGGGGAGGGGAGATAGGAGTGCCTACCAGGGGCGTAGAGGGTAGGTGGGGATTCTACTAAATCTAAGAGGGCTGGATCACCAGCCAAGTGGATCACCGCTGCCACTAAGCGTGCTCGGAGACAGAGGTGGTCCCTATCCTATTGGGGGATAGTAGGTAGGCTAAAACAGTGTGTGAAGATATAACCAAGTAGTATAACAGAGTTAAAAGGAGAACTATGAGGTGAGTGCTTTTCACTCACCTCATAGTTCTAGCCGACCTGTGAAAATGAGACTGTCACAGGTCGGCTCAGTGGATCGGGAGGTGAGCGAACAGTTACCGGCGTTCGCTCACCTCTCGATCCTGTCACGGCTCTCTGCCGTGACAGGGAAAGGGCTTGATTCCGCCGTCCCTTTCCGCCAGTCAGGGACGGGGGAGGGAGCGGGTACAGCTGGCTCTGCCTCCAGATAGGCAGAGCCAGCTGTCAGTCATGCAGCTGGGACTTAGCCGGGTTGTGGGATTTGAACAGTAAATTGGGCACCAGTCACTTGAAGTACTTTTTCAATGCTTTATTGCAGAACAATAGTCGAAACTGGGAGAGAGGGTATAGGGCTTCAAACATCCTTAGGCAACATTAGACTCCAGACTCACCAATCCATTCAGGCTTTCTCAGTGCAGAAAATACTTCAGTAGAACAGAGACTGACACTGTGTGAACAACAGCTCAATAGGGATGCACATGATGTGAGAGGGTGTATGTGATGTACACTGCATTTTAGTAGCCACTCCACTCAGGGTGGTGGGGGCTACACGTACCATGTGCTATAATTACAGATTACAGTTAAGGATTTATAGCAGGCATTAAAGCCTATCTCCATCCAAAAAATGTTTTTCAGTTTTGCATATAGGAAGGGTGGAGTGGAGAGGAAATACATTCTATTCCTTCCCCACTCTATCCAAAACCTATAAAAAACAGAAAGCTTTGGCCTGATTGTGGTATTAAGTCTTAGGGTTAAGGAATACAGCTTGGGCTAGGGATGGCCATTTGGCATCAATAATACACTTTGCACTGATCATCTCTTCTAAAGCACTCCAATCTAACCTCCTCCATATAAAGCAGGCTAGATTACACTCTCTGTAGGATAATAACCTCAAACATTACTCTATTCTAGTAACTATTATCACTGTGTCTGGGGTTCCTGTATCAACTCCTATGGCACAGCAGAAAAGAAACAGAAGACCTTCACCCCACTCAAGGTACGTGTAACCCAAACTGTGTGTTGGGGTTCTCCACAACAGTGGGAGAATATGAATTTATTACAGGAGAGGACAGAAATAAAAGGCCAAGATGCCTACACATTGGCTCGATGCCCTGATGACTAAATATTCAAGGAATTGAATTAAAAATTGAAGATTTGATACCCTTTAGAGAACATCTAGAGATGTTATTTGTGCCTAAGCAAATCTCTGAGAAAGGCTTCTGCCTTGAATGTTCATGAAAAATAGCAGTGCACTCACTTCCTTTGCCTAGACCAGTGGTGGCGAATCTATGGCACGCGGGGCCCTCTATGCTGGCACACGAGCCCAGGTTCAGGGACCACCAATAGAAATAGATCCGACCGACCTGGATCGCTTCAGTACGCGATCCGGGCCAGTCGCAATCAGGCAGCGGCCGTGACCTCTAAACAGGCAGATTAGACAGCCGCTTCCTCCTCACGGATGCCACGCGGTTTTTCTATTTTTGAATTCAGCCCGACGGTGAAGGTCGCTGGAACGTCGCTCCGAACAGTCGCGCTATACCGGCCCCGCTTGTAAGGTATGTCGCTTGCTGTGAATGGGGCCTAAGACAGTGATGTTGAATGTTTCTTTAACCCAAGCGCCCGAACTGCAATACAGTACTAAACTTATTTTCAAAGCTGGCACTTTGAGGTAAATAAATTGATTTTGCGTCGCAGTTTGGGCACTCGGGTTCAAAAAGGTTCGCCATCACTGGCCTAGACACTCCTGTGCCCTGAGAGTATATATATGCAATGTGAGATCATCTAAGATACTGCTGCCTCCGGTGACTACTCTAAGGAGATCTGATGATATAAACTAATGTGCTGATCCCTGTTCTCCTTGCTGGAGCGTAGGCTGTACCCGAGGACCTGCAGTGCAAGGACCTCCCTGTTTCTGCTTTATTCATTCTGTGAATATGTGATTCCTCCACCACGCCCGCTACTGCTTGATCATTTCCCCACCAGTCATCAGGGGAAGCTCTGACATGAAAAAGCAAAGCTTTGCCACTACCAAGATGACAGACACAAGGCACAGTGTGTCAGTAATGGGGAAAAGATCAGCTGCAGGGGGACCACAGGCATGACTAGTCCTTTGCCCTCTGCCTACCCTTTTTGGGCACAGCTCCCACAGTTTAGGTTCTTCTTTAAACTCTCAATCAAGTTGGAGGGAGCAGGCCTGCATTGCTTTGGATTGATTGTTCTTTGACTTTGTACAAACCTTCAAAATCTGAACGTAAGATAAAGCAACCAGCAACGGCATCACCCCTAACATGGTTACAGTAAAAAACAGACCGTAGACATTGTTCAGTGTTGTATCAATGCAGGAGAGTCGTACCGATGACCAGTTATCACAGTAGATTTTCAGGATGACATTATCACAAAGAGGAAGTCGCATTGTCAGTATAATATGCACAAGGATTATGATAAAAGAGTAAAGCAACACACCAATAATGATCTTGAATGCCTTAGTTAGGGTCATAATGGTGGCGTACCTCAACGGATTGCATATACACACATAGCGGTCATAGGCCATGGCCGTTAGTATGCTCATCTCACATGACACATAGGAATAGATACAGAAAATTTGCATGATACAGGCTGCATAGGAAATGATTTGAGTCTTATGAAACAGGTTTACAATCAAGCTGGGGAAAAGGGAGGTGCTTCCATAAAGACCATTGGTACAGAGGGCAGATATAAAAACATACATGGGCTGGTGCAAACTCTGGTTTAAATATACTGTGGATACTACTGTGAAGTTAGATAAAATGATCATCAGAAAGCCAACCAGTGATATCACCCCGTAGACATAATTAATATCGGAAATTGTGCCGAACGTCAGGTGAAGCACCAGAGGAGGAGAGTGCGTCGAATTCTGCATTTGTATTCCAGCCAGGTCCTACAATAGGTCAGTAAAAACAATAAAATATAATTAGGAACTGCAAAAATATACAATTATACAGTAAATGGGGTATAGTATGGGGTATGGGGATATAGTATGGTGGTATAGTATGGGGTATGGGGATATAGTATGGTGGTATAGTATGGGGTATGGGGATATAGTATGGGGGTATAGTATGGGGTATAGGGTGGGGTATGGGGATATAGTACGGTGGTATAGTATGGGGTATGGGGATATAGTATGGTGGTATAGTATGGGGTATGGGGATATAGTATGGAGGTATAGTATGGGGTATGGCATTAGTTAAACCTATTTTAATAGTAACTTTCAAGCAACCAGAAACTACATTTATTCGGAATCTACCTATCCCTGTGTATGCCGGATAACGGGGAGTTTGCTGTATAAAGTATAGAACAATAGGACAATTCTTAGATTGATACAGTATTAAATGTATAACACGTTTAAGATGAGTCAGGCACATTTCCCTTCATCCCTTTGCCCCTGCCCACCTTTTTGATAAGACAATGTGATGTATTTTGAGCTCTAAACTTTTAGAGAAGATGTATCACTGCAGATCAAAAATCCTCCCTGAATTCCCCAGGGGACAAAGTGAATGGAGCACTTGGTCCCATTCTGATCTCAGAGCTACCACATGGTCAACTGCTTGTCCCCCTTCCCCCCACAGCTGTCCGACCACGCTGCTCACAGCAAGTCCTCTTGTCTCTGGCAGCCGGCAAACACTGGAGATAAATGGCATCATTGAGCACAGCTCCATTCACAACACAAGCGATAGTAAAAGATCACTTAGCGCTGTTGAAGCTGCATGACCTATCTGCTGGTGGTGTTTATGTTTACAAGAAGCCAGAAGATAGATCACTTGTAGATTACAGATAGAGCACACAGCTCCGGTTGCGCTGAATTACTTTCACCATGCTGCAAAATACTTTTAGAGTCTGCTGGCATGCTGAAAGAGACTGCTGGAGTCAAGTGACATGTTGGAAAAATATCACTAGCTGCTCTCTGCCCTGATGCAAACAGTGGGCTGCCTTTTGGGAGGAGTTATGCAAATATCCAACAGACTTGATGGGTGGGTGTCAGTCTGAAGGACTGGTAATTCCTAGACAGGCATCATTTGCATGTAGACCGTCCTAAATAACACCCACATGTGATTCATTCACCCCATTCATAAATTGTTGACTGTGATGTTGAACCAGTTGAGTGTCATGGAGTTCTCAGTTTTCTCTTGTTAGAATACACATTACTGTGTTTATAGCAATAACTCCTGCAGTATACAATTTCGGTCACTGGATGGCAGTGTTTATAAGTTCTGTTATAAATCTATGGTATCCTCTGTTGTATTCAAAAAAAAAGTAAAGAATAAAGCTGTGGCTTCCTTCCTGTTTTAGCCAAGCCATGTGCATGTGCATCTCAGACTGTGTGCTTGTGTTTCTCTGTGAGGCGGTGCCCTGACTAATGCAAGAGAGGCCAGTCACATAAATGTGACAGGTTACGTGATGGGTCTCTCCTCTTGGCATTGCATCGTTATTTTAAATGGAACGCCAAAGCTGCAAGATGCACAAAACCAAACATAAAGCATTTTCTAAACACAGCACAATAAGCAGATGGTCCATAGCTATTCACTGTGGTGTGCTTAAAGTGACATTAAACCCTCAGATTTTTTAACATAAAACAATACTGTAATGTGCGCCTTTCTGTAATCCATGGTTGTTTCCCTTCTATTTGCTGCTCTTCCTTTTAAATCCTCATGTCTTCTCATGCTGGGCAGAACTTCTGTTTTGCAGCTGACTACCTTGTCTGAGGAATAGATACACGGTGTCTGTGTGCAGGTTCACAACCTGAGCCAGCACTACAGGAAGAGGCACTCAGCTGCAAAGGGAAGTTCTCCCCCAGCATGAGAAGACATGAGGATTTAAAAGGAAGAGCAGCAAAGAGAAGGGAAACTACCATGGATTACAGTAAGGCACACATTACA